AGTAATAGTCCATTAGAACCCTATCGGAATAATGTATCCAATGCATTATCCCGTTAGAGTTTTTAACTACCTTTCAAGGGGGTGAGTGTAATTATCGATACCACAGGGATCTTAAAGTTATTTAAACATACCTCAGGGGTGTGGGTGTAATTTACCCTTTAAATAATTATTATTATTTGTGATTTTAAAACTTGGAAAAAATATATTATTAATATAAGGGTGTATTACAACCAACCCCTGATGTATGGTCAAATTATAAAAATTTCTTTCTTGTTTGGGTAATTACAAACACCCGTCAACTATAAATCTGTTTACACGTCCATCCTTGCGATTTCAAATTTAGTAGAATTTTCGAGATTATATGAATATTATTACTTTTGTATCCGCTTTATCTAATTCGAACTCTACATTTTAAAGTAAGATGATCATAATATGTGTTTTGTGGCTTGTATATATCAGATTGTGGTGCATCAGAAACTGTATTTTTATACTAAACGAGTACAAACTAGAGCACATTTCACGAAACCTAGATGATTATGTTGAATTTGACACGATAAGGGTGGAGGTGTAAGAAAAAATCATAGTTGATGGGTAGATGTAATTATCCAAGCAAGATGAGTTTTTTCGTAACTTGACCATACCTCAGGGGGTGGTTGTAATTTACCCTTAATATAATAAGGGGCAATATGCCAAACACCCTTCATTGGGAATTTAATTCTTGATAAATCCTTTTTTTATAAATGATATTTGAGATAAATCCAATGGGTCTGAAAAACCATATATGCCCCCACTAAGTATTAATTAGTATAATAATTTAATTTAAAAAAAATTACACCCATAATCTACACCCAAATCTTCTCCTAAAATTATTCCCCTCATCACGTTAATTCAGTTATTTTTTTCCCTTTTCTTTTTTATTTTGTTTAATGGTTTTCTTTATTTCCATTTAAAATAAAATTTTGTAATTATATTATTATTTTTTTTCGGTTGTTTAGTTTAAATTATTTTTTTTCTTATTTATATTTTTCATGTTTTTTATTTTAATTTAAAAAATGGTTTTATTTTTATTTTTCGTTTTTTCATATTTTTTTTTTTATTTCAAAGTTTTTTAAAAATCGGTTTTTTTATTTTCTTTTCAGTTTTTTTAAATAAAAACTACTCTATATAAACATGAAAACCACTCTGTATAACAACTATGTAAACTTGAAAACCACTCTTTATAATAACTATGTCAACTTAAAAACCACTCTGTATATACAGTTAAATAAAAATTTGTACAAAAATTATTGAAAACCACTATAAAAATGTTGAAAACCACTATAAATTTATCAAAAACAAAGCCTAACGTTATGAAAACTACTCCGTATAAACAACTATATAAACATGAAAACCACTTGATATAAAACAATTATATAAACATGAAAACCACATTATATACACAACTATATAAACATCGAAAATCACTATGAATTCTAACAAGAAAACATCAAAAATTCTGCGAAAAAGAAGCTATAAAACCACTATAAAGGACACCATCTTCTCTCGAATGAACCCTAGAGCATAGTCTGTGTACATCATCTTCTTCTCGTTATTTGAAACGTAAACCACTATTTGA